AGAACATTTCATATTGTAACAAATCATTGTATAAATTAGAACCTGATCTGTATCACCACAATAGAACATTTCATATTGTTACAAATTATTGTATAAATTAGAACCTGATATGTATCACCACAACAATAGAACATTTCATATTGTAACAAATTATTGTATAAATTAGAACCTGATCTGTATCACCACAACAATAGAACATTTCATATTGTTACAAATTATTGTATAAATTAGAACCTGATCTGTATCACCACAACAATAGAACATTTCATATTGTTACAAATTATTGTATAAATTAGAACCTGATATGTATCACCACAACAATAGAACATTTCATATTGTAACAAATTATTGTATAAATTAGAACTTGATCTGTATCACCACAACAATAGAACATTTCATATTGTAACAAATTATTGTATAAATTAGAACCTGATCTGTATCACCACAACAATAAAACACTTCCTTCTGTGATAAACTATAGTATGATTTATTATACTGATATTATACCTTCCCTCCACTTACTATTAGCTCATCAAGATTTTGTGCTGTCCTCTATATGTATAATTTTTCACACACCACTAGCCTTGAGGTTCCCACCCAAATTTGTGTTCCAATGTGCTATTGCTGCACTGTAGCATGCAACAACCCTCCACCAATAGGAATGTGTCACACCCTCTTAGTGCAGCTGACTCACCCTATACTGATTTCTACAGTCATTTCTCAATTTGGCATTTGCACATATATATTTTGATTACACTTTTCTATTCTGCATTATGAATTTACAAGTTCATGTTACTACTTCTTTGTCTAGTGTTGATCAACAAGGCCTTATTCAAGCTAGACAAACAACAACTATGGTGTTGAGCTCCTTTTTGTCTATTATGTTAGCCATAGAGTATTGATAGTTGGAGCCCTACATCTGACCTGATCCTTCTGCTGACCCAGAGACATATATTCCCTTACCTGTGGAACCGGTTCACAAGGACAGTGATTTTGCTGCACCTTCTCAGTCCACTGTTGTTGATTGTCCTAGACCTTCCTTTTCTTTCTTGGATATGATTTCTCAAGTTTGTTACAATTTGTCCCTTTCTTCTGTATCTTACGATTCTTCTCCTTCTCTTTTGCATTCAGGCCCTACAACTGATTATTTTGTTTTCTTTCATCTCCTGATGTTCAGATCTACACTATTTTCTGTCCCACCTTCATGCTGGAGCCAGCATGCCTCGTCCTCCTTGCTTAGCAGATACACCTGCCTTGGCCTATCATAGAGCTGAATTTCCCTTTCTGAATTCCACGGATTTGGGGTCTTTTTTCAGGCTATGGGGTCAGATCGTTTATCTTCATCTTTCACCAGCTCAATTCTCATGTCTTTATCTCACACATACTCTTTTTTGCACTGTCTTTCCTCTATCCACTCTCTTTCAGAGGCTATCCACCATTCACCTGAGGAATTTTTGGCAGATACTCATTCTTCTGTCTTTTCTATAATGACGTGTTTGTCTTCTTTTGCTTTATCTCACTATATATGGTTTCTTTGTCATTGGAACTTGTTAGGCAGGGATGTCCTACTTTCTCAGGTGCATTTACCTGGCTCTTATCTCTGAGACCTTCATGTGGCTCCTTTCCTCCACCAAACTGTGTTTTGTGGAGTCCTGGATTCTTGTGTGAAGGCTGTGCACCAACACTTCCATTTCTTCTCTGATTTCTCATCTTTTGCAAGCTTTTCCTGCACTTGAATCTGTACCCCTTCCTCCAGCTTCTTCTCCTTTTCCTACCCATCCCCCTTCTCATGTCATTACTCTGACCATTGAATTCAGTGCCATCAGTATCAATAGTAACTATATGTTAGGTTTGGGCTTGGTTGCCTCAATTTGGAGACCGTTGGCACCTGTTTGCAACCGATTGTTGTGTCCTTTGGGTGCTGTCAAAGGTCCTTACTCTTTATTTTTCCTTTTCTCCTCCTTTGTCTCCCATTCCAATTTCTTTCCCTCCTCCATGGGATCTAGTTTGTTGCCAGCATCTGTACGAAGTGGCTTTGGACCTCTTAGCATAAGATGCTATCGAACAGATTTTTTTCCTTCTCCAGGATTTTATTCCTGTCTGTTTATCATTCCCAAGAAAATGTAATTGTCACCCAGTGATAGATCTTTCAAGACTCAATTGCTTCAACAGCCTCCTTTGGTTTACCATGGAGTCTTTTATCACCCTCAGATGGTCCTTCACTCCAGGTCTTTGATAACCAAGGTGGATGTCTTGGATGCTTACCTTTACATTCCCATTTCATCCAGGCGTTACCTTTGGTTTGTTCCTTGGAATCAGTTTTTTCAATTCCACCCTCTCCCTTTTGGCCCCATATGGGTTTTGTCAGGTAGTCAAAGCTTTTGCTTGACACATTCAGGATTTGGGACTGCAGTTTTACCATTATATGATGATTGACTTTGTCCCAACAAGCCTCATACAACCATACTCTTCTCCTTCAAGAGTCTGAATGTCTGTGTTGGTTGGTCAAATTGGAGAAGTCGCATCTCACACCCACTCAGTTTCTCATTCATTTGGATGTGTTTTTCAATTCCCATCTCAACAAAGCTGAACCTTCTCCTCTTCATTTGAGGAGCATGGAGCAGTTAGTTTCCAATGCCATATCCTTACCTTCTATCAATATATGGGAGTTTCTCTTTCATTTGGGAACATTGGCTTTCATGGAATCACTTATCTCTTTGGGTCATGCTCATATGTATTGTCTTTAATGGACTGTGCAAGATTAGAGGAACCCAGTTCAAGATCCCTTGTACTCCACCATTTACCTTCTTTCTCCTTCTCATCTGAATCTCCATCTGTTTACAGATGTGTTTTGGACAGGGTGGGGGTGCATCTCGACTCTCCAGAGATTTCGAGTCAGTGGTCCCATGGAGAATTGTCCCTTCATGTCAATCTCTTAAAACTTTTGGTGGAATGTCAAGCTTTGGATCATTTTCGTAGAAAGGACTCTTTCATTAAAAAAGTTTGACCAAAATCCAAAAATAAAATGGCTGTCTAATTAATAAATGTTTATTTTTAAAAATCTTATTTCAGTTAATTGGAAAAACTATAAAAAGCCATTCAATGTAATGATCAGCAATCGGATAATAATAATTTTGCCATAAAAAAAACTTGCTTAGTGAGAAGTACAAGTCAAATGGGACACATTAGTGTAATACTTTTATTTTGAGTGTAATATTTTTTAAAGAATTTATTGCAAATATTCAGCTTTGGTGTTGCTTGAAAACAACAAGATTTGAAAGTAAGAGGAGAGCAAGAGATCACAAAACAACGTTTACATTCGTGAAACGATAGCAAGGCCACAGGTACTTTGAACCAAACTTGTTCTCGGTGGACACCAGACACAACGTATCGTTTTACCATCTAGTGGATGTCTAATGATGATCCATACAGATAACTCTACAGTTTTCTCCCATGTCAATCACTAGGGGTGGCATCCAGTTGCACTCTTGCCGTTTCCACATTTTTGGGCCCATTCTTTACAAGTATGTCTCATCAATTTTCATATTCCAGGTGCCCTGAATCTTGTCACAGATTGGCTCTTGAGGCCCAACAGGATACTACCTGTTGAGTGGTCTTCCAATCATCTGGTGTTCAAGTGGCTGTGCTTTTGTCTTAAAGGTTTTCCCATTATTATCATGTATTCTCCTTTCTTGTTCTTTTTGCCACATTCATCCTCCCCGTCCTGCGGTCCTTCTTGATTGGGACCTGAATGTTGTTCTCCATGCCCTTACACTTCCTATGAGCCTTTAGCCTCTTGTTCCTATTACCATATTTTGCTTAAAACTCTTTTTTTTCTTCTGTCTGTGGCCATAGAAGATGCATGTTTGCAATTAATGCTTCTCATATTCTTCTTTATCCTGATTGTGCTTTTGTCTCTCTCAAATGTCTGTAGCTTGTGAAGGAGACAGCACATTTACTCCTATTTACTTACCTTCCATTCATTTTTTCTCTTTATCCTTGTTCTGATCCTGAACATCTCTATCCCATCTGTGCAGTTTATTGTTATTTGGTCTGCACTGCTTCTTTTTTTGCAGTTTACTATCACATCTATTTATTTCTTGGAATTTCTGATCTATCCAAGATATTTCTCCCATTACCTTGACAGGATGGCTACAGCAGCTCATCTGTCTAACCTATGATTCATTGGATGTAATTAACATAGACACTTTAAGGTTACCTCTCACTAACTTTGACACCTTGCTCTCTTTTCTCTCTCTCTCTCTCTGGCCACTTACTTCCATTGTCTGTTGATAGAGATTATGCAGACTAGCATGTGGACAACCCCCACGTACTTTTGTCTCACATTATCTTCATCATCTGGCTGTTTCTTTTTCGTTGGTATATAGATTTCCTCCTGTTGCTATTTTACATACCCTTTACCAGCTCTGACTGGGCAAGTTCTTTTTCTTTTCTCTCTTACCATTACAGGGGTCCTATTCTATGTGATGGGATCCCACTAAGTGGCATATAGCACTTGCTAGGTTATGCTTATATATAAAAATCTGCACCATATGGCCGTTCAAGTCTGTTGCACTCACTGATGATATGGGGTATTCCACAAGTTTTCTAGAGATTTTCTCGCAGTATCTTATTTGCTAAACAAGGTCTGATTCAGACTATACCTACTCATGTACTGTCATGAGTAAAACATTGTTGTGATAGCTGCCCATCCCTCCGGTTCTTGTTGAATAAAGTAGGACTTGTCTGCTTTTAAGAATAGGTTTTTGTGGTTACCCATTGCACTGTCTTTAGGTATTGCATTCCTTCATGCTCCCCAACGGAATACAGGATTTCTTTCCACTCACCAGTTCCTAAAGCTACTAAGGTGGTGAACTATGGAGACTCCATTCTGAGTGCGACCAATTCCGCTCACTAGAGATTATGGTGGTGGTGTTCTGTTGGAATACATGGTGCAGACCCTCTTCTTACCATGGAACAGACAAAAAATTTGCAATGCCGCATGGCTTTTAACTGTAGTTGACCCATCAAGTACAGTTTGCACCTCTGGCTGGCTTCCCACCCACCCCTACCTACCACTGTGTGGATGTTGGTTCCTGCAGGACCAGCCAATATAAGCCCTCACTCAGGAGGTTGATTGGGATCCTCCTCCTACTGTTGACCAGATGACAAATACCCTATGCCATCTAGTTTTGGAATGGAGTTGACTCACCACAATGTTTCTCCCATCCTACTCTTGCCCTGATGTTAAGTTTCTGGGTGGCCTAGTGTTAAATATGTGCAGGGGCAGCACACATGAGTTCTCTTTAGTTTGGCAGAATAGAGGTTACTTTCCCTTCTGCTTCCTGGGATTGAGTGAAGATGGTTGGGACCTTCCTACTGCAGACTGGATGCTGCCTCATTTTGAATTGAGGTTGACCCATCATGTACAGTCTGATGCACCCTAGCCACACTAATCTGTTTGGCACATCCATGTCTATGATCAGGTTCTGGACAGTGCTTGATTTCTTCCTGACTTAGCAACTCGTATCTTTATTATGGGTGAAGAGTATACCTTGGTACAGAAGGGGTGTGGTCTCTCATGGGTGTACTATTTTACTTTTCTATGGTATCACACTCTTTGCATGCTTTTTGAAGGGGGCTCATCCTTTTGCGCCAGTCCCACCAACATTTTAATGTTGTTTTTTAGCTATTATGTGAACAGAGGTAAGGTATCATTTTGGAAGTTACCGTTTTCCAATACTTAAAATGTATTTACAATAGATACTTGCCTACTCTCACAGTTCTCACCCATCCTTCTCACTTCCAGTGCACCTTTTCTTGTCTAATCTTGGAGATGATTGAGGATGTGTTGTACTCCTATTGGTGGAGGGTTGTCGCAAGTTCATTTGCATGCTACATCGTAACAATAGCACGTGGGTACACATGAATTTAAGTGAAAGTTTCGAGGCTAGTGGTGAGCAAAAAATTTTGCGTATAGAGGGCAGCACAAAATTAGAAAAAGCTGATATGTGAGAGGAAGTAAGTATCTATCACAAATACATTTTCATGTTGGAAAATGGTAACTTCCGAGTCATCACGACAATAACCGAGTTGACATTTATTCCATAGAGCATGCAGTCTCGCAGCCAATCATGGTACAACGTCGCAGTGGTTCTTATCCTGGGAATGATGCAAACTCTGTACTCTCCCCACGCTCTTCAGAAACCAGTGGGTTGGGGGTGAAGATGGCAGAATATGTACTTGGGAGCTCACCTACCACCAAAGACCTGGATTCAAGGATGGCTCCACTTCATGTAGAATTAGTAAGCTTGTTATTTTAATTCAATGAACAGTAGCTTATTTATAGTTAAGTTTCAATATTAACAGTTTTCTAAATTTCTTATTATAAAATAAAAAAATAGAGGTAAATATTTTGCTGCTATTGGTAGGTTTAATTTTTCTTCCTTTGGAATAATTTTTTTAAGAGTTCTTCATTATTCAGCTAAAATGTAAAATGGTTACACAGTTTTAAAAAATGTATTATCATTAAAATTAGCCAAATATATATCATTTATGTTTATAAAAAGTAAATAAATAATATTATTTATTAAAAAGTTTTTTTTCTGGCCAGTAAAAAGAATTTGCAGTGAGAGAATCTTATTATTTGATTAACTGAAAGGGATGATGCTAAAACGACACAATTACCACCAGATGTGTTAATTGTTAGACTAGTTTCTTGTTTAAGATTTGCTGGGCTAATTCTTTAAGTTAAAAATTTAATAAGATAAAAGAAGTTATGAAGTTTCTTTTATCGTAGAACCAAACAGATGGTAACAACAAAGGTAACAATACAAAACTCTACAACAGTGACGTAAAAGAAAAAGGAAATAATGGTGGAGGAATTATACAAGCCAATGGAATTATTCAGAACAGTTTGCAGAACAAGCAGGTATTTAGGTAAGAAAACTGTAAAAGTTTGTGTAGAACAATGATACGTAATTCTCTATGAAGAAAAAATGGACCTTCTAAATAAGCTATGTTTTATCTTAATTTCTTTGATGTATTTTGTTATATTTAAATTTTCTTTAAGAAGGTATTGTATTAAATTTTCTTTTCCAATATCATCAGTTTCTTCAAATTGAAATGTTTCTTTACAATAAAAGAATTCTTAGTGTGGATGGTTAGTTAAGAATGTTTGTTGTTTTTTATAGGAATCAGATTTCACTGTTATAACCTCTAGTTATAATCTCTGACTTAAGAGGGCAGCAGTAATGTATTTAAATTTCCCCTTTGGCTAGTAATTACATTTGTTTAGCAACAGAAGGTGTGTTGATTCTACAATAACCATCTTCCAATGAAAATATAATGTTTTGTGACCAGTGAAATTCTGTAATTGGCCAGTCAAACATTACTTTCGCATGGTAATGTGATGTAATTATTCAAATAAGATTTAGTCGTTTAAGAGTCTGTGAGTACCATTGGT